GTTGGTCAGTGTGGCCAAGTCTGCGAATTGTGGACTTGGTATTGTGGTTGTTTCTGGGCACAAGACACCACAGGTCGGACGCCATCTGATCGCTCCAGAAAGACCTCTGAGCGAGAGGTCCCGGGTTCAACTCCCGGACAGGCCCTTAAATTTATGTGACGGGTTGTGGTATCACAGCTATACTGAACCAAGATGGTATGCCTCTCCCTCACATAATAAACAAAAATGCTGCTATTGGCCCTGCAGTGTGTAAGTCGCAGGTGGAAACAAATGAAAATCATCAAATAAATAATTAAACAATTTACTGAAATATTAATGAACATAAATGCCCCTGAAAATACTTGGCTATCATGTAATGCAAAGGTGAACAAGTTAATATGACATTAATACAAAAATAAACTACAAGCAATGAATACAAATCATAAATACATATACTGGTGTATTGAAGACAGCTACCATACCACCACGGCATCAGACACACGGCGTTGGCTGAAGTCAGACGATGGGTGAGAAACACCAAGGTGTTCCAAGAGCACTAAGGGAGAGACTGGCTCTCCAGGGAGGTGGCGCCCTTTATATAGTCCAGCGGTGATGACTCCTCCAGTGTCAACGCAAGGTGGACATCTGGTCAACTAGCAAACTGCTCGTTGTGGCTGGCAGTGCCTTTGTCTCGAGCTGCACCACTGCCAGTTGAAAGAGGCTAACTGCTAGTTTGTGGGGGCAAACTACCGGTTACAGGCCTCTTGAGTCGTACCAGGTCATGCCAGGCCCTGGGGGGGTATGGAGAGGTGGCAGGGCTGATGACTCATCTGGGCTAATGTGGATGTAGACTTCCAGTGCAGAGGCATTGAAGGTGAAGGGAAAAGGCAGTTCCACTGCTATGCAGGGGATTCACGTGACACACTGATGAATTTTGTGATTCTTTCCACCTACCTAATTTAGCAAGACTGCTACTGCCGGCAGACATCTTTCCTATGTACAAATGTTGAAGGAATAATGTACGCAAATCCTTGGGTAGTAGACAGAACAATTCTATAAAATAAGTAACATTGTCTCACTGTATTGCACAATTTATAGTTCAGTAAAAGAACAGTTGAAACATTTTACAAAATCAGTATGTTTTTTAATAATATTTATAACTAAAGGCAAAAAATACCGTAGAAAAAGTTTTCAAAATATTACAGTAGTGTCATGTACTAGTATATTAACAATACCTAAGAGTCAGGTATATATTAACAATGCAAATTTGGTACAGAATTTTCCTCATATATTTGGAAGTGTGTATCCCAGATGCATACTTATAAATAGTCTTTATCTGATGTAATTAAAGGGCAAGAAAGAGTACAAGAAGTTATTTCCATAGAAGAAATGTGCACATCAGGGCAGACATTGAAATATGGAGTGTGTGAACAATGCACAATATATGGTAAGATAAGGGGCATGATGGTGGTTTATACACAGTAGAGGGTGTAAAAGTATTCGTAATTTACTGTATGGCAATTCATGAGAAGCACTGTACTTACCTATCAGTGACTGTGGGGGCGAGATCTAGCTCTCTCTACCCCACCTCCGATCCATTTATACCTGAAGTGCTAATTACCTCTCGACGTTAATGTTTTCATGTAATTTTTTTTTTTAAGTTGTGGATGGAATTGACTTAAACAATTTCTTTTTAATTGTATTTCACTTGCTGACCACCTGCACAGGGAACAAGAACTTCTTTACATATCTTTGACTCAAATGCGTGTACAGCTTCCACTGATGTCCCTTGTCAGTTAATTCGGAATAATTAATTCCCTTGTCTCTTCTCAAATTAATTAGGCTTCCTTTATCCACGTTGCCTATTCCCCTAAAGATCTATAATATCCTCAGTAGTTGTAGTTATAATATCCTCTCTGTTTTTTCTCTCCTTTAAGGTTGTGAGAGTGAATTCCCTCTACCTGTTCAGATAGCTGAGGCCTCAATTCTGGTACTAATCGTGCCATAGTGGGGTGGGTTATGTGGATTACATACTGTACTTGTATTGCGACAGCTGATAGAGAAAGCATTCACGTTGAAAAAACGTATGATAAAATGAATATAGGTGTAAAGTCTCTTAAAGAGTACAGTACAGTACTGAGCATATATGGAGTTTAAAATGTTAACACACGCTTTCAAATACTGCAATGAAAATTGAGTCATCCATAAAACATACCCTCATATGTCGATGATACAGTTCCTGTCGTTAATTTAGAAATTGAATCTAAACTTTAAAAATTAATGTCATTTTGTTATATGATAGACTTCAAATTACACACCTCACGAGTTGACGATTTTGCAGGGAGTGTTGGCGATCAGCCTATGCTCCCTAGAACTGCAGTATTTCAATAAAATTTTTTGTCATGCAATGTAGCAGTCATTTGAGAACATTTACATTTAAAGAACTTACCATCACAATAAACAGCTGTGTAAATTGTTCATACATTTCAAAACTGTGTAGCCAAACATGCCAAATTACTATTGTATAACACAATCTGCTATAATTTTCCTTCAGTGGTATGCAGCAGACTGCAGAATTTATGTAGTTCATGGTGTAACGTGTGACTGGTTTGATACTAATGGAAGATCATACCAATGGCTATTTGATGCCCCCCCCCCATGTGGTTGATATATGTATACAGTATATGAATGGGGTCTTAAGATGTGTCCAAGTAAGAATATAGTACTAAAAAAGAGAATGCAATTAATGTAGGATAGAAAGAAATGGTGGTCCTCGTGGTGTAGTGGTTAAGATACTCGCCTGGCGTTTCGCGAGCACTTAGTCCTGGGTTCGTATCCTGGCCGTGGAGGATTAACTGGGCGCCAATCTTTAACTGTAGCCTCTGTTTACCCAACAGTAAAATGGGTACCTGGTTGTTACCCGATTTGGTGGGTCGCATATTACATATTAAGTTATTCTAACCGAGAATGATAGGGATATTCTGTTACAGTAGATGTAAGTTTATTTGGCATGTGGTAAACCAAAGGTAAATATATAAAAAAAAAGTTATGAAAAGAAAATGTAAAGGAAAAGTAAAGTAATGAAGGGTAAATGTAAACAAAAAGTAAAATAATGAAAAGCAAATGCAAATAAAAAGTAATACACTATGGTGGTGAAATGAGGTGGCAGTGTGGTATGTGATGTATTAGTAAACAGATGTCTTATAAATACCGGGGTTCTATAAGTTCTAAAAGTATTTTGTGGGGGAGAGTTTGAGAGGGAAACAAGCCAAGGAAGAAAAGTGGCTGATTCAGTGAAAGCCCTAATTACGAAGGGTAAAGATGGAGCGAGGCAGATAAGACATAAGGCCCTATGTTTAGTAGAGACTTAAGGTGTGTGTATGTCAAGAGAGTTCAAGTTGCCTGAATGGGAAGTCTGAAATGCATTATGGTATTAGGAGGATAGAGTATGAAATAAAAATCTCATGGAAAAATGGGGAGTATAAGCTAGCAAATTTGTAAGATTGGGGAGTATATTGAGTGTGTTTGGTTATATTGAGAGAATGGATGATGATTGTGGATAAGTGAGTGTGTGTCTGCAAGAAGTTGAAGGTAGGAGGAGAGTTAGGCCCAAGAAGATGGTCAGAAATGGTTAGAGCTACCTATTGGTGTCTTGAGTGAGATTTAGCAGATGCATTCTAAATTCCACATAAATTTGTTTTTACAGTACTTATTTGTTGTTAATATTGTGGATGGAAGAGTCTTTCATTACGTTTTTTCAACACGTTCCATTTGCTAACCACTCGTACAAGTATGAGTACTTCCTTGGGTTTTTCAGTTCATTTCCATTTCCTACTTCCACCATTGTCCTCTTGTCCTATTTACTCTCAATTTAGAGACTGTCCTTGTCCTTGTCTATTTCTTTCCGTATTTTATACATGGTGGTAATATCCCATTCTGCTACATACTTTGAGAGCTAATTAAACTTTCTGGAACCTTTCTTGTAGTTTCCAGTCCCATTTAATTTAGGTACTAACCTTGTTGCAAACCTGTATATTTTTTCAAGCCATTTTTTAAGCTACATGTGTGAATTGTGCCAATGCTGTCATTTTATGCCATACTGTGCTGGTCAAACATAGGCTGTGTAAATTTTTTAAGAGTCTTTGTTTACTTTTTGTAAGCCTTTATTATTTTTGCCAGCTTCCCTTTTATGTACTTTGTGTTAATGCCGAAATGTTGGCTTCTTTGAAGTCGTTTGCTTTTTGTTTCTTCAAGTTGACATTTTCCTTATGATGTATATTTATTTTAGTCTCTGTCACCTCTTTCCATCTACAGTACCCTACATGTGTTGGGGTTGAACTGTAGAAGCCATTTGTCTACACTCTTGGAACTCGTCAAGGTCTTCCTTGTGTACTCACACCTTGGTTTTGCTTTCCCCTATTAGCTTTAAATGTTTTGATAATGTGACACGTATGAGAGTGCTCCCTCAGGTGGGCCATTCACAGTAACCACAAGAGACCTAGGACTGAGCCTTGAGTGACGTAACTGCTTCTTCCAGCCCAAGTTGTTCTTCCTGACTTTGACTTCTGTTTCTTGTCTCAGATACTTCCTTACCCAGTTCAGTGTCCTCCCAGTTATCCCAGCTTGCTTCTCTTATCTTGCACATTAGCCTTTTGTGAGGAATAGTATCAAATGCTTTTGATACTGCTTTCAATTGCTTTTGCTATATTTTTCATGGGTAGGGAGACATCAGCCCATAGACAGTGTAGCTTGGTATTATGATGATGAATGAGCAAATAAATTTGTTTTTGTCAGTTGTATTAGATAACTTTTAAAATGATAATGCAATATTGTATCGTGATAGGTGGGATTTTGCTGGTCGGCCGTAAGGGGTTGGCAGGTAGTGTGTGATCACAACTGAGTAAATAGGAAGTAAAATATACAATACAAAATTTAGAAAGACTAAATAGCAGAAAAAAAAGAGATTGTTTTGGGAGACAAACTACTTCGCTAGCAGCAGTCTGTTTACAATGGCGTCTCAGCAGGAGGACACGGACGAATCAAAACCACACAAGAGAAAGCCGACAGAGGAGGGGGAAGTGCCACTGAGTGAGGAGGAATTCGAAGGTTTTGACTCACAGAAAGCAGCAAAAGCAGGATCACGAAGCAAGAAAAGAAAAGTAGAAGAGAAACAAAAGGAGGATGATCAAAATGAGGTAAGATTAAGAATAGAATTGCTGGACAGGAGTCAATGATAGAGGAATTCTACCTGAAAAATATGTTAAGGCAAGAGGTAGTGATGATCAAGTACAATTGGAGGAAATTTTGAAGGGAAAATTAGGCTCAAGAGATTGTAGTGTACAGGGCAAAGAAAGGAAGGTGGTCACAGTAGAAATTTGGGAATATAAAATAAAATGCAAAGGATTAACAAAAGATAAGATAATCATAGATATTTTTAAAAGGAGCACAAAACATAAATACAATGGAAGATGTAGAAGAAATAGGAAATGGTGTTGTCAGAAACATTAAGTTGTTGCTGAACACGGTTGAATGAGACATGTGATTTATACAGGAAAGATTCATTGTATGAAGAGACATAAATAATCATAGTGCAAGTAGAAGAGTTAAACATCAGAGACGATGTCTTGTATGTGAATCTGAAAATGTGAACTAGAATACAGTAAATAATTTTGACAAATACAGTACGATTTGCACAGTACTATGGACAGTCAAGAGTTCTGAAGGATGATGAGACATTTAATTGTAGGTAATACGAAGGAAGGGAAGGGTAATATTAGATAAAAACGTGGAATGAGGAAGAAAAATGTTTTCTTGCAAAGTATCAAGATTTAAAGAGCTTGTACAATGGTGTGTGGGAAAAGTACATGGTCCAGTTGAACTTGAAAGAGACAGCCATTTGGTCAGATGGAAAGATTCTCATGGGCAAAGTTAATGATAAAAAAACTAATGTTGATGAGGAAATCTTATAGGTACTTGAGCTTAGTCATGTACAGTAATATAAGGAAATAAGCCTAGTTGGAGTGTAAGACGAAACACGAATAGAGGATCATAAATGCAAGTAGTGTACTGTACTGTTTTTCAAAATACTGTTTGGTACAATGCCATAACTTTCTTTAACCCTCCATGGTAAGGATGAGTGGTAGCTGTGGTAATGAATGAGAATACAGTATTAGGACCTTGTAAATAGCAACTCAAAATTCATATAGAGTTGAATTAATCATAGATTTCAGCTAGAAGAGGAAAAAAGAATGATAGTAAATTTATCAAGCCATCAGTAAACAATACAGGGTGGTGTGGTGCTCCTCTTGAATAAGAGCCACTTGAGTGAGGCATGGCACATAACATAGCGTTGAATTATGCAGTGCCACAGTATGTGGGCGACAGTCTGTGTCGAGTGTAGACATGAATGTTTGGAAATGCTAGAGTTCAGGACAAATATAACTACACTTATCAGGCCGTGGATGATTTCGAAGAAACGAATAGTGTTAGGATTCATTGAAACACTTGCTGGAAATTAAAAAAAATTTTAATACTTAACTATTTTATGTTATATAAATCTTTAGCGCATCGGCAACAGTGTTCGTTAACATGCATTAACCCTTTCACTGTGGCACTTCCATTTTGGCGCTGTATTTTCCTTCGGTATGTATGGGACTTTTTTTTATACTGTACATATAAAAAGAAAGTGACTTGCTCTTTCCAGTGGTATTATTTAAAACAAAATTAAAATGAAAATAAGTTTTTGGTTTCTAATGCCTGTACTTGTAGGGAATCTGGTCCAAGTAATTCATTATCAATCCATAAGTGTTTCCAAGATTGAATATCATTATAAATACAATCTTTTGGTGTGAGGGGGGGGGGATCTCAATTTGTATTACATTATAGGAAGAAAATGGTACGTTCTTCCTATATACTGTACTGTGACAAATTATTGAAAATGTGACTTGTAGTTGGTATAAAAGGTTATTTAAAAAGAATGGTTTTATTTTCTATTTTGTGATATCAAATAATGGTTGAAATAACTCAATACAGTACCTAGCAAAACATTTTCTCAATTCAGTATTTTGAATATCATCACAAATTCAAGGAATAAGCATATGCACCACGGTCTGTAGTTTATTTGCAAAATATAGGAACCAAAATTATGCCCTAAATTTGTTATTTCTAAATGGATTTTCTTGTCTATTGATACTGTACTGTATATCACTTATAATGGTGACTAAATTTAGAATAGTAACTAATTATTCTTGACAGCTTTAGATCTAATGCATTGGATGACATTTCCATCTATCTCCATCAAATGGCTTCAGCCATAGACCAAAATTTTTTTTTTTTTTTTGGTAGCCAGATGTCTGGGCAAAGGATTCTGGATGTTTTAATTTAATTGTTTTCTTTATACAGTACTGTACATTTAGCCAAATTCACATACTTTTGCATTAGGCCTTGACAAAGCATGATGGCTTGGAATGTAGCGCTGGAGATCCTGCTTGATGACACACTTGACTGCCATTCACAGGAAAGTCACCACTAAGGCATACATTAGAAGCAAACCTTTTGGCAGAGGAAGGAAATGTCATTGACAAAAATGCCATACAGTACTGATTCCCAAACTGAAAGTGGCAACTAATGGCACTTGTGATAAGTACATAGTTGTCAGAAGATATGACTAGTTACTAATATGTCATGCACAAAGTGGATAAATACAATGTGAAAATGAATCTCGTCCACTCAGATTTAACATGAAGAGAACAAGCTTGGATAAGTTGATGGGACTATATAGTCCACAAACTTGGTAAACAGTTGTGTCTGATCATCAGCCAATATCCACACACTGAATGGCTGACTCAGCAATTCATCATGTTGCTGACCCCGTGTGCCATGTTCTTTCAGTTTTAATTTGGAAGGAATCTATTGACTTGCTGCAAGGTTGTCAGGCATCTGCAATAATGTCTCTAGATGTCGAGTCCTTATTCACCTACATAATCTTGGATGACTATACTGGTCAGTATTGGCATAATGTTCAACTGTTTACATCCCTGAATATACACTAGCACAACAAAGCACCCTTCCTGATCCCCAATATAAAATGTGTCATCGTGGGGTTTCCCCTCATCATCCCGTATGTGAATTTGTATATGGGGTACCACTGAGAGAGAAATATAAAGTCCTAGTTGACCTTGACCTTAAACCTAATGTCTAACTGAAAGTATGTTGAGGATATCTGCTAAGAGGTGGTATTTGACAGGAAACACTTGCTACTGCATATAGAAACTAACATCTGCACACCTGTATTATATGACAACACCCTGGGGCACAAGGAAAGAATAAATTCAGTTTTTCTTTCTACTATAATGCTATTAAAATGCATTACCTGATCATAGAATTTTTTTTCTTTTATATATATACATACATACATACATACAAACAATTGATGTGGCTGTTTTGGAGTGATAAAATCTTGCGGTGATGTCACCGATTCATGGGTATTCATGGAGCAGACGCCCCAAGGAGGTTGCCTGGGCCAGGCGTGCGGTGGGAGTTGTGAATATATTTAGACCGATTTATTTCAGTGTCACTGATTTGTTTTCAGAAATTTGAGAAATTTTTATAATGAAACTTGCAGAACATTAATACATTCAAATATTTTAGTGTTACTGTACTAATATGCCCACATTAGTATATTCTTTGAACTATAAAACATACTATTTTGCTATTATTACATTGTACACAACATATGTGTATAACCCTGCATATTTTGCACCAAATTGTAACTGCACGCATCGAATGTACAGTATTTTCTTTTCTTCGTATCTATCATAGAACTTGTAGATCATCGATGAGCACAGATATATTTATACACGAGTTCTTACATTCTTGTAAAGCCACTAACACATGGTGTTACGGGGAGGTTCTTGATCTTAATTTTCCTGGAATACGACCTGCCAAATCGTTTAACAACAAAGTACCCATTCACTGCTGGGTGAAAAGAGGCTTACAGTTAAGGAGTGGCGTCTAGTCAATCCTCACAGGCCAGGATACGAACCCAGGCCAAATAGCTTGTGAAGCGTTGGGTGAGTGTCTTACCATTTTTAAAGGAACATGAGGTCCTGTTACATGATGCATAGATACACCGATATCTGAATCTTGTACATACTGGTTGTCTTTATCACTGTCGGGAACTTCTATATCACAATTTTAACACTTCTATATATGTATTCTATTTTCTATATCACAGACAATTTCTTTAAAAGGGCATATGTAACACAAACAAGGAGTAATGGTTTCAAGCTCAACGAGCTTCAAAGTAGGAGATGCATTTTCACCCACAGGGTTATAAACCCATGGAACCGCATACCCACCAAAGCCGTAAATGCGAAAATGTTAAATTTTAAAATCCAGCTGGAAAAAATCAATAGGGCAAATGCGGGGGGGGGGGGGGGGGGACCTCTGACAAGCTGCCGGCCTCCTGTCTTAGATGGCATCTTTTTACTGGAGGCCTGAGGAAGTTGATGTCACCTCCCCTGTACCTACAGGAGTTTTATATCTTACACTAGACTTAAAATTGACCTTGATTGACATGTGCACCACCACCACTGAAAAGCCCCTGGTTGTTATACTGTATGTAGTTTAAAAGGTTACGAGTGAAATTCTGTGCTTAGTGTTACTCTGGAGATGGAGAGTGATGACATGCTTTATTTCTTGGATGTAGCCATCTTGAGAGGAATGGCAGCTTCCACACACACACATGATTAAATCTACACTAAAGGAACTAAAATGGGTATATACCTTGGGGGTGGAAATATTGTGTAACTTGTTCAGTTGGGAAAATATTCTGGTGCTGTGTGGTTCTTAGGAAACATCCCTATGATATCATTTTGTCATCCTTAGACAGACATAAGTTAGCTGATTAGGGTTCCTCTTCCCCATATATATATATATATATATATATATATATATATATATATATATATATATATATATATATATATATATATATATATATATATATATATATATATCGTACCTAGTAGCCAGAACGCACTTCTCAGCCTACTATGCAAGGCCTGATTTGCCTAATAAGCTAAGTTTTACTGAATTAATATGTTTTCTCTAATTGTTTCCTTATGAAATGATAAAGCTACCCATTTCACTATGTATGAGGTCAATTTCTTTTTATTGGAGTTAAAATTGACGTAGATATATGACCGAACCTAACCAACCCTACCTAACCTAACCTAACCTAACCTATCTTTATAGGTTAGGTTAGCCGAAAAAGTTAGGTTAGGTTAGGTTAGGTAGGTTAGGTCGTCGAAAAACAATTAATTCATGAAAACTTGGCTTATTAGGCAAATCGGGCCTTGCATAGTAGGGTGAGAAGTGCGTTCTGGCTACTAGGTACGACATATATATATATATTTATATTTAAAAAAATCTCACATTTCTAAATACATACCTGAAAAAAAATATTAATCAAATTTATATGCATGAACATGTTTTTTTACAATAAAACACAATCCAGTATACAATATATGGGATAATGCACTATAAATATTATTGAACCAAAAGCATTTAGGTTATATAAGTCAATACCATCCACACCTTTAAGATAAGATACGAGGAAAATGGTAGTGTTGAGAGAGGTCATTAGTGGGCAAGGTATTAACGGCCACAAGGCAGGGTATGAAGAGCTAGGTCTCGCTTCCCCATATCAGTGATAGGTAAGCATTCCCTCCCTCTTCTCACTGTCCAATAATGTTTGTCTTGGAATACTGTAGTTTATAGCTTGTTCATAATGGCAGTTGGGTCAGGTTTCACAAATGAGAAAATCAGTGGGAATCATGATGAAGACTTAAACCTGTGCTCTGGGTATGCAAGTGTGTCATAATGAGCTCCTGGTGAGTCTTGATGAGCTGATTGGAGGGCAATGAGGAATTGGGCTTGCTAGTGCATTGCAGCCTTGAATCCATCACCCACACCACACCATTCCATCCTCTCTTCCCACAATACTCACTTTCACTGCTCTTGCTGCAACTTTCCGAACTGTTACAGTCCACATCAGCAGGGAATCATTTGTATAATTATTAATATCACTTTCATTACATATATTCTCCAAGATGTTAGTAATATGGGTTGTGAGAGGGTATAGAACATGCTCTGTGATGATAGGCTGAGTACAGATAATGGAGTTATCTTTAATGCATTTTTGGTGCCCGAGACATCTGTTAATGAGGGTTAAAACCATAAATCAGCTGACTGTTTCCATCCCTAAATGTATTAAGATGAGTTTGAGTGTATGGAAGCAGGACAGGTTGTTAAAAAATTGCATGCTGCTGTCTAATGGTCAAGGTGCTAGGTTGACACGAGAAATGCTGTGACCCTCCCAGAATAACTAGATGACTACAGAACTTTGCTTTCCCAAGGTTCCCAGACTCTGAGCACTCCGAGCTGTACTTTTTTTATATTAAATCATTCCTCGTCGTCCATTTTGTTATTACAATATTAGTCTTCTGGATCTGTATAATTTTTCTGCTCCATTAGTTTTTACACTTTTGCTCTCATTATTAGTTTTTCTGTCTGTTTGCATTTCTCATACCCGGTGCTTTCTTTGATAATTACTTACTTACTTATTTTGTCAAACTATTTCGGTCTTTTACCCATTTTTTTAAATAACTTTATTTTTTACTTTCAGGTTGAGCAAATTGTTGACATGGAATGTAAGAGACGCTGGAAGTGTCCAGTTAAATTCCGTGTTCGTTGGCTTGGTTATGGAGAGAAAGATGACACGTGGCTACCTGCTTCAGAGCTAAGCTGTGATGACCTTATAAATGAGTTTCTTGAAATCTCTGGAAGAACATCTGAATACAAAGTAAGTACAGTTAGTGAAAAAAGTTTTTGCTCTTTGTATAATTACTATTTTTTTTTTACTTTTTCAAGATACTGAGAGTAAGGCACAGCTATTGTTAGTGGACATCCTCCTTAACCCTTTCTCTGCCCTTAAGTGATATATGCCTAGGCTACATTTTGATACTCGGTGGGGGACGGCTGGGAAAGGGTGTCACAGTGAAAGGAATAATATACAATTGCTTTCTAGCAATTGGATAATAATAATCTTTAGTGAGCTACAAGATTGTAGAGCACATGAAGAAATTGCAGATAGTGATTGTAATGCAGAGAGAGATTGCAGATTACAATTTTAGAACACAGGAGGATATTGCAGGTAACGGAGCTACCTCAAGGGGAGCCGAGTGGACAGCACGCTAGACTTGTGATCCTGTGGTCCTGGGTTCGATCCCAGGCGCCGGCGAGAAACACTGGGCAGATTTTCTTTCACCCTATGCCCCTGTAACCTAGCAGTAAAATAGGTACCTGGGTGTTAGTCAGCTGTCACGGGCTGCTTCCTGGGGGTGGAGGCCTGGTCGAGGACCGGGCCGTGGGGACACTAAAAAGGCCCTGAAATCATCTCAAGATAACCTCAAGATACCAATTGTAGAGCATGGGAGGAAATCCCAGATAATGATTGAGCCGTGTAAGATTAACGCTTTCATTTTGCAATGATGTATTAGTTCATTATGCAATCTTAAATTATTCTCAAATTATTTCACTATTATTTGTGTTCTATGATAACACCTTGTGTAAACTAAAAATGAGTACAGTATATTGTAAACCTTTAACACATTGCATTGAATACAGTTAGTGGCTTAGCTCCTAAATAACACTTCACTTTCAAAGTGTATTGCAAAGGTATTATTCAAATTTTTTTTTTTTTATCTTTCTATAGTTTAAGATCTATCATTTGCACACATTTCCATATAAGCATAAATTATTTTGCACTGTAGAATGACTATGCATACCCAACGTTTGTCTATCAATTTCTCCAAGCATTTATTTTAATTTTTGTTTTTAAGAGATAATTATTTCCCAAACTTTTGTATTAAAAAAATAATGTTCTTAACCTGTTGAAATTGGTCCACAAGCAGAAAATTAGTATAAATTGTAAGTCTCGGTGAACCAGTGTCTAAATGGGTGGTTTACTTTGGACTCTAGCATCATCTTCCGAGATGATGGTAATACAAAGTAATTATCAGATACTAGAGTGAGTTGTGTGGTTTAAATATTAATGTTAGGATGTACTAAGACTGTTTTAATGAGTAGTATAAGCAGCTGTACTCTGCTTAATAGCTTAAACTTGTTTACTTAAAATAATTAATTTTTGTATTAATTTTGTACAGAATGCAATGGCCCCAAAGAAGCGGCCAGATGAGGACGAACAAAGAATAATTGAGACGAGGAAGACAATTAGAGTCTCTTATAGTGAGCTGGATGAAGATCAAGGTACAGTATTTCATACACAGAATTCCATATTTACCCATTTTCTTAGTTCTATTTTGAATCAATTCAGCTTGACACTGTCGCAGATGCTTGAGTGAATATACGCTTGCATATCAATCTGAATATTACACTGACGACCAAACCATAGATCAGAAAATGAAGAAATGGCAACGTTTCTGTCCATCCTGGATCATTATCAAGTTCTAAGAGAAGTTCCGGATCAGCTGGGCTGTGGAGGGTATGTGGGCCTGCGGGCCGTTCCAAGCAACAGCCTGGTGGACCAAACTCTCACTAGTCAAGCCTAACCTCGGGCCGGGCTTGGGGAGTAGAAGAACTCCCAGAACCCCATCAAGCAGGTATCATGCGACCTTAATCAAGCCACACGGCTTAATAATGGTCCAGGATGGGCCGAAACAACAGAGTTTCCTCCTCACTTTCTGATGTGTGGTTTGGTTATCATATCTTCAGCCACATTATTGTGACTCATCATCTAAATACAGTATTACACTGCCATGAAATACCATACAATAGTGTAATTAATTACTTTCTTGTTCAACATCTAAGCATTATGTCTGAATATTGGAACAATCAACATTAAACATTTTGTGCTCTGCAAGGCTCTGCCCATTTCTGCCAAAATGGTTACCAGCTGTGCATAAAATAGAATCTTTTGCTATTCAGAAATGCTCTAGATTTTAGATTTCCTCCTCCTTTAGATTAGGAGAATTGTAATTTTTTATATATAAATAATAAGAAACATTGAATGAAAATAAGAATGAGTTAAATGGGGAAAAAAGGGTTGTTACTCAGGCCTAATACTAGTGCAGTACTCTGTTTTTTTATCGCTAATAATAGTGTATTTTTCTGTTTGCACCAAATTATAACTTGTGTTTTTCTTTAATATTGTTTTCAACTTTAGGAAGAAAGTAATAATTGAGGCAGCTTACCAAAAAAAACAAACTATATCCACAACTACTCAAGTCACCAAAACAGTGTTAGAGTGTATTATTTTGCATAAGGGGAAGGTGCTCTGTATGGTATGTCATATTTTCTGCAGTTGTGAGCTTCCACTAAAATAAATGTGGTCTAGGAGGACTTTGATCTGCTCAATTAGAGTTGTGTTTTGCAGTTCTAGATTTTCTTTCATAACCAATTTGGAATTTATGGCATTCTTGTCAAATCTATCTTAATGTTTTACCATACTATTTTTAAAATGTATGTATTTTGTAATCAAAACTTTTCCCCTTGCAGAGGAAGTCATTCCTGCTGGAACAAGATCTCACAAAGTGAAAACAAAGACTGAGAAAAAGGTTGTGAGACCACCACCTAAAAAGAAGCCGAGGGTTTTGGCCACTAGTCCCAAGGGAAAGGCTCAGATACAAAGTGTCCCTCAAGAGTACGAGGTACAGTAAATTCCTTCAACTAAATATATCTGAAGTAGTTTTCAAATCAGAATGTTATTAACTTATTGTTGTGTTTCTGGCAGGGGGTCTTACAGGTTTAACCAGTCTTTTATGCTCCATTTCCAGGTGATGTCTTGGAAGTACCTCACTGATTTTATTTTAAACCTAAAATACTTGGGTGGTTATGCTAAATTTGTCCATGGAATCTCCTCAAACACACACACAATATATTTTGAGCTTTGTAACCCTATGTTGGTAACTTTCCCGAGCTGTAGTTGGGTTTTAATTACTAAGTTGTAGCAGTATGCCGAGTATCGAGTATTTAGATATACTAATTAATTCTGGATAGATCTTGGATTACCCATACTGCATGAAGTATGTGCATAATGTGTTCTTATGAGTAGCTATATGTACTGTGTACGCAATGTACCAATGTAATGTACTGTGTACCATATTTGCCCCAATAGGGCAGAATTGAAGGCTGTCTTATATTAGAAAGCCAAGATATAATTTCCTTTAAATTTCTCTCTCATTACTCAGCCTCCATGGCTATATTTTAGTGTGTGCTAGTTTGACCCCTGAGCCTGGTCTTCTGTCTGTGGATGGCTTTCCCTGTTATGGAGAGGCAGATGAGTTCAGATGGTTACACTGATCTGTTGAATGCTTGGCTGGTGATACTCTGCCTTGCTGTTACTGGCTCTTCAAATCCACAAGTGTCTTTGTTAACATAAGTGTGTCTGGTAGGCCAGTTTGGCATATAGAGCAGAGGTGAGGAGGTCTATTAATCTTCCTGCTACCAGGCATTTCTCTTGTGTGTGTGTGTGGTTGCTGCCTGGCTTCACGGGAATATACTGTTTTAATGCTTGATTATTTCTGGTGAGTGGGTGTTTTTTTTTTTTGCCTTATTCACTTTTCTCCACCTGGGCCTCCATGTCTGGGCTGTGCTTGAAGGGATTCAGTGAATACCCAGTTGTATGCCACTTGGCTGCTTTTGTTGATACATGATATTTTTGGAGCTTTGTGTTTATTTTTCATTCCTTGCATGCTGTTTTTGTCTTGTTCAGTCATTGCTGAAGAATGATGAAATAGATTTCAGTATTCAGCCTTTCTGGTTTTGTCTGCTGTCTTGTTGGTTTAGACCCGTGGTTTTGTCCCAGGCTTTGGTATGTTTTCTTAATCTTCTTTACCATGTGGGATTGTAGGATGTTTTCATCTGGTGAACGCCTTGCCCTGTATTGCTAGATAGTTTCTGGTTGCATTATATAGATTGACCTCAATTATCCATACTTATTAGTGCCTAGCATGTCATTGCCAGTATAAGGACGTAGGGCTTTTGGCAATCCTGCTTTGAGTTGGCGGCCCACCGTCTGCCCAATGTTGCTTGTCCTTGGTGATGCTAGGTCATCTCTCTCGTGTCCGATGGTAAACTTGTGTGCCTTGGGCTGGAGATGTTCACTGCTGCAGTCACATGTGTTAACATTACTGTACATTCATTCATTTCTAAGAAGCTTTGATCAGAAAGAGCTTTTTGAGCGTAATTGAGCATCCACTTGGGAGCAGTACCTCGGTAGATTATCATTTTACTGTTACTGGTTGTTTGGCTTGTTTAGAGATTAGTTTGGCAATTTGATGTCAAATATTATTTGGGGGAAGGTGATTGTACCTTAATATTTTGCTCTGTATACTTGAAGCTAGATTTATATTCTCATTTTATATTATTTACTAGCAGGACCCGGCTACAGCAACCTTACCTGTCCCCCAGTCTTCCCCATCATTCCCCCCTCACCCGTCTCCTCGGCCTCCCAACCATTCCCGACTCCACCATCCCCTCTTCCTCCACACCATGCCCCACTCCCCTGCCCCTTTGTCCTCCCCACCATGCCCCACTCCTCAGTCCCTTTGTCCTTCCCACCATTCTCCATTTCCCCACCCCCCTCGTCCCCACCATCCCAAACTCCCCCGTCCCTTCATCCTTCCCCACCATTACCCCCCTCCCTTGTCCCCTCGTCCTCCCCACCATCTCTCACTTCTGTCCCCTCATCATCCCAACCATTCCCCACTCCCTCGTTCGATGCCTTCCCAAATGTCTGGTGTTCCTATCAGAAAATTGGGAACATCAAGTGATCTGATGTTCCTATCACTGTAATATAAGGAAAACAGTTAAAAAAATGAAATGAAAATATGAAAAAATGTAAAAATAAACTACTCTCACGAAATGAATGGTCTGGAAAAACAACACAATTCCAACACAATTCACACAAAATTAAATCAAAATCTAGGAAAATTCAATTTATCAATGCAATCAGAAACATTGAAATGGAATTGTAACATATCTAGTATAACATGTGTGTTGCTCTTCCATGCAATAGATGGCGCTGTTCTTCAAGAAAAGTATAGTTTTACCTGTCACAGGTGTGGCATTTATACTTACGAAATGAACGGTATGGTTAACAACACAGCTCAATTCCAACACAATGTCACAAAATAATTCATTAAAAAATAAAATAAATCGAAATGTATGAAAATAAAATTTATCAATACAATCGGAAACACTGAAATGGAATTCGCGATATATTTAGTATAGTGTGCATGTTGCCATTATGTGCAATAGATGGCGCTGTTTTTCAAAAATGCATGTTTTTACCTGTCACAGGGGTGGCATCTATATAAGAGGCATATAAAAGGATGCGTCTATTCGAATGCAACGTTGTATCAAAATTTAAAAGCAATTGGTGAAGAACTTTCGGAGATTACAGCGTGTGTTGCCCTTACGTCCAACAGATGGCGCTGTTTTTCAAAAATAGCATGTTTTTTCCTGTCACAGGTGAGGCATGTATATAGTAGATATATAAAAATATGCGCCTATTCGAATGCAACGTTGTGTCAAAATTTCAAAGCAATCGGTAAATTGGTTTCGAAGATTTCCCTCACATGGAAAAACACAGTTTTTCAGAAAAAGCTTGTTTTTTACCATCACATACGTGACATCTATATAGTATGTATATAAAAACCTGCTTGGAGGCGAATGGAACGTTGTGTGAAAATTTCAAAGCAATCGGTGAAGTACTTTCGGAGATTAGCGATTTTGAACAAACGAACATTTCCATTTTTATTTATATAGATGGGAAGGCTAATGATGTTTCTCTTGATAAAGCCATATCTAGTTTTTCTTTTAACAGTTGTTGATTTATGATGTGAAACAAAAATTATATGATTGCAAATTTTGAGGGAATAATTAATGCATTTATTCAGGTCGAAGCAGTTGTGGATCATCGTGTGCGTGGGCGCTTCACAGAATACAAAGTTAGATGGAAGGGTTTTGGTCCTATGGATGATTCATGGTTACCAGAGGCAGAACTAAATTGTGACAATCTTCTGAATAAGTACTTCAAGACCGCTGGCCGCAACTTGGAAGAGTCGTTTGAGGTAGGAAGTCCAGATGTATATCTGTTGTGTAATAGATTTTTTTTCCAGTTTATTGTTAATTAGACATCTAATTAGACAGATAGGATACTAATTAGACAGATAGGATACCATATTACTTCTATTCTTTATGCATTACCAGCAAGAATACTTTAATTTTGGCATAATATTTTTGTTTGTTTTCCGAAATTTGCAGTGCCCGAGTAATATTTGGAGAATTCCTTTACGTATTTTCTTGAAATGTTCAACACCTCTGTATTCGGAAAGACTTAACACTCTCGCGTCCCCGGCGTGCGCGCCCCAGCCCACCCCTAGGTGGGTTAAGCATTTCACGTGAGTGCACACCCACTCTAAAATGTGTATACTCTTCAGTTTTTTGCTTCAATTTTTCGTGGTACATCATTCATTTTGGTATCAAAGTGTTCACAATATAAAGGCACGCATTTTATAACTAGTCCCATAATAATCGAACAATAAATGGAATTTTAACAAATATTTTAATTTTGGACGCTCGTCACCACACAAGTATTTAATATCTTTCCAGTGTTCTGACCTCAGTTGTCATGTTATGTCGTTCATTATGGTATCAAACTGTTCACAATCTGAAGGCACGCATTTTAAAACTAGTCCCATAATAATTGAACAATAAATGGAATTTTAACAAATATTTTAATTTCGGGCACAAAATGCATCTCCGTCAGACATCCATAAAATTATTAATGGACACAAACTGTGTCGCCATCAGACGAAAGTGTTAATATATGTGGTAAAAATCGTGAATAATACTGAAGAACATAGCTGCACCAATATTTCCACACTCATGGTGATGCTAGGAGATATACAAATCATTTGTGTTCCATGGATTTTATTTTTATTTTTTTTTTTTTTTTTTTTACACTACAAACTTCTAGGTAGTGCACATTATTGGTGTGGTCCTCATTGTGTCATACCACAGCATTTGCAGTTCTTTGGAATGATGTTGTAAAGTGTGTATGCATTTATTGGCAAACAATAAGTATGTTTCCCACTACCCATTTGTATGGGTTGGGTCGTTCTGTTTACACACCAGGTCATGCCTTGCACAAAGTACCCAGTGCCTTGCCATTAGTGAAGTAATCAAGACAAACAGATTAACTTGTGGTTTAATAGACAGTTCAGACACACAATAGACACGACCAAGAAAAGACAAACAGCAGCATGTAGTTAAACAGGAAGACGTTAAGCAGTCAGAAGAAAAACAGAACAGTAATTCAAAAGGAACACAGCAGTGTAAGATCAGGCTATGTAGGGTCTGATCCTTGTGGAAAAATGCTAGTTGGTGCATGTTCCATGAGGTATAATGGTATAGAGAACAGTACTAGAGTAGAAACCATGGGTGGTAGATGACAAATGCACATTATCTGTTAGTGAGCATTGTAGTTGCAGAGGAGTAATTAAATATGTAATTCTGGAATTAGATACAACAAAGATAGTTGGGTTAGAGCAGATATCACCATGGTTGCTAGAGAATGGTGCAAGGGCACTGACTTCTATTACTGAGGTTCTTCAACTCCCAGAACCCTATTATTACCTCACCCTGTCTCCATCTTGTTGCATTATTTAAGAGGGTGGTCATGGATCGTTTAATATTAGCTATTATTTAATTATTTGGATAACAATAGGGGGGTTTCTCCGAAGGAATTTGTGGATGTAGTGTATGGTATAATGAAGGAAAGTGGCAACATGTTGAGGGTGGTGTGTGGAGGGTGCTGAGAAAGGTAATGTTGCCCACAAGATGCGACCTGGCCACCACCACACAAATCTTGAATTGGCATCTCGTCAGATCCAATGTAGCGCAATTTGTTCTGCTAGTTGTTCTACCATAACATCTAAATATTTTCTCATAACAACAGGGGGTTGACTTAGCCTTTATCTTTGCATCATCAGGTCAATGCAACTAGAAACTTGTCTGCCCCTCTCCCCCCATACAATGACAGGTTGTGTAGTGTGTTTTTTGCTACGGAGCCAAAATATTGTGAACTGACTTTTCAACTAAAAAATTATGGCATTAAATTTTTTTTTGTTTAGTTTTGTCATTTACCTGCTATTTCCACAATTGTTTTGCAGTAGCTTCATGAGAACAGAATATTGGTTTGAAAATCCTAAGTAATAAATAGGTCATGTTAGAGGGCAGGAAGGCTTCTTAATGGACCTTTTCTCTTCACTGTGGTTCGTTTGCTTGGTCAAAGCTTGGGTTCAGCTTCTGTTACCTGTGATAGAAATTGAAGCTTTTGTGGGTTTTTCTTGGAGCTCCACAGATATGCACGATTGAAATTACAATAACATGTTGTCATATATCTATGATCAAATCTTTGGAGCAAGACGACGGGATCAAACTAGTAGTGTCCTGGGTCACCCCGGACATGTGCCTTAACCATGGACCATAATATGCTTAAAAGTGTCACGACCGGAAGTACACCTGGAGTACGCCTGGAGTGCACCTGGCGTGCACCTGGAGTCAGCATTTTTCCACATATTAGTAATGGCTTTTTTTTTCCATCTTAGACCGACTCGCCACCTCTTGCCTGAGGTTATCTCTAGTGAGTTGTTCTATGAGGGCCTCAGGGGCTGCTGTACTGTCCTGTACCTTCTTGTCCTATGTTGTTTTTCATGGAAGCTTTGTCTTCTCAGGGTCTTTTTCCCCAGGTTGTCAAATGTCAGTCCCATATACATCTTTGGACTTGATCCTTGCAAGCATTTGTTAACCTTCCATAGTTGTTTTCTCCACCCGTGTCTATGGTTGTTTTTGGCACCCAGGATTTTGGTGCTCTGATGGAACTGTGACAAGCTCAGTGGGTGTCGAGGCATTTGACTGACTGGTCATTGTCTCCAGGCTGTAGTTTCTAACCCTGGATCAGATAGTTCTGATGTCAATTGTTGGGTTAAATACCCTAGTTATACTACATGTTCATATTATTGTTCATCTGTGAGGGGCATTGTTTAAAGTGAGCTGAAATAAGCTACCAATTAGTTTAAGCTCATAAATAAAATGTTGAGCATAAATGAAACATCCCTTTCTGTTTGCACCTCTGCAGCCACCCATTTCTGCCCATATTTCTTGTGTACTATATTTGTATATGGTTTTCTGGAGCTATTGTGAACTGACTTTCTTATCTCAAATGTTGGGTAGGCTTGGGCCTCCTGCTGGTGGTTGTCATGGCAGTCAGATTATTGAGACCTCCAGACGATCAGTGTTGTTCGGCAGTTTCCGAAGATCTCGTGAAAGAAGGTTGAGTTTTAGATCTCGCGTGAACTCGTGGCATAGAGGGGACAAGGCTGCTGGAAAAAGCACTTGTGTCCTCTGTGTACAAAAAGTGTCACCAGCAACTTGACATGTTCAGTGTCTTTATGTGAGTTAAGAAAGCTGTCAAGTGCCACTGAGAAAGTGGTGTTTTATTGCACTATGCTTTATTTAGTAACTCCAGGGTTTTATTCCATTGGTATGAGTTGATAATAGTGGAGTTGGGTTAATAAAGATAATGGATTTTTCTCAATTAGAATTGTGTCATTCAAGAAACCTGCCCACATCTCAGGGCTTAATTATTCTAAACTCCTGGACTGTACAGTACTGTATTTAAAAATATAAATGTGTCCTGTAAACAGTTCATCTTCATGTTGTGTTTTATTTATATATATATAAATAAATATGAAATATATGGTTTTGCAAGTAATAGCATTACACATTGTTTAAAGTATATGTAGCCTAGGCCTGTAAACAATATAATACAGCACCAAACTGGGCTAGCTATGTACTAAACCCTCCCCCCTCCCCCACATTTTATTATGATGTACATCAAATGCTAGAATATTACATTTAATAGTTTATGCCTGTTTAGGTGATATTATAAAATATAGGTATTGTATGCAGTGTCACATTGCTTTTTATTCATCAAAAAGAGGTGAGCTGCCACTCCTGTCATTGGCTAGGCAATTTTAAGTGTTCAGATAGTTATAGAATTCGTATAGAAACATCTATTCCTCAGTACATCTTAATTAATCTAGATAATATTTATTGTAACTTAAATTTTGTGTGCAGTACATTCAGTATGTGCAAGGTCAATATTTGTCAAATTGACTCATTCGGTACATGTTTAAAACCAGACCACGCTAAATACTAGTTGTCAGCGTTGTGGCGAGTTACGCGCACAATCTTGGCATGTGGGTACTTGATTGCTTCCTTAAGTACTTAAGTAATATCCTATTCCTCATGAAACGGGCGACTCGCTGGTATGCTAATTACCTCTCTTAACATTAATATTTCCATCATATTTTTTCTTAAAGTTGTGGATGAAATTGACTTCAACAATTCCTTCAGTACATTCCACTTGCCCCACCACCTGTACAAGAAACAGGAACTTCCTTACATCTCTACAACTCTGTTCGTGTCTCCAGCCAGTTCGTGTCTCAAAATAGAGATCCTAAATGTAGTTGTTGTCCTTGTATATAAGTCACCGGAGGCAAACCCTCAGCAGTTTAAAGACCAACTAATGAAAATAGAGCACTGCTTGGAAAACCTCACAAATCCAGCTCCGAACATCATCCTGCTTGGGGACTTCAACCTACGGCACCTGAAATGGAAGCACCTGGCTAATACAGTAATATCAGAAAGAATACCAGGAAGTAGCCTAAATGAGCAGGCACATGCAAATGACCTGCTACGGATGTGCGATAGGTTTGCCTTAAACCAGCAAATAGTAGAACCAACTAGGAAGGAGAACACGCTGGACCTCATTTTCACTAATAATGATGAGTTGATCGGGAACATAATGATTACAAATACCTGTTACTCAGATCACAACTTAATTGAAGTACTGACAACCATGGGGAATGGACCTTCAAAACCAGTCCAGATTCCCGGTGGAGGAGATTTCAGCAAATTCAACTTCAATAATAAACGGATAAACTGGGAGCAAATAAACCAGGACTTTACAGAAATAAACTGGGAAGAACAGCTAGGAAATGCA